CTATTTAAAGTCTTAATGACCTTGACCCATATCAATCTGAAATCCTAAACATCATGAAAGATTAAGCACTTTGTGCTCAGGTGAGCTTAAAAGCAAAACAGTAAAAACAAAGAAGAAAAGAAAAGCAATTGTTTCTATTTCTGAGTAAAATTCTTTTGTGAAGAAAGAAAGCTATTTGTCTTCAAAAATAAATTCACAAAGATAAAAATTAAATCCTTAGAAATCTTTATAAAGCTAGCAAAATTTCAGCTGGACATTTATTTTCTAGTGTTACACAAAGTTTTCTTAATATACTCTTGAAGTAGACCCTCCATTTCTTTCTCTCTCTCTCCTCAGGGACTTTGGATTCTTAGAAGTGAGGCAGCTATCCAACCAGCTTATGGAACATTGGTGGTTCTACTCAGGTACCCACTTGTGCCTAATATGATGCTTAGAAGGGCACCATTGAAGCCTTTCTCCACAGGAAAAGCTAGAAAGAGGCCATATGACCTTAACAGTGTTGGTGTGACTAAAAACAGAACAAAACTATCGTCTTCAAACGGCATGCTATTTCTTCCATAACAGTTTACCATCCATAGTTACTCAAAATTGTAACACTCATGTTCAAGAATTTGTAAAACCAAAAGTTTTTATATGTTTTACTTGGCTTTAAGTTAAAAGGGCACTGTAAATGGTCACATTATAGTGACTTTTTAGCTTTACTGTTAAAAGGAAGAAGACTTAATGTACCCCTTCATGAATTATTTCAAGCACACATGAGTCGTATATATTATAAGATCCAATGGCCTTCTGTTTTTTTCTTAACCTAGCCAGATAGCCTTCTCACATCAAATCAAAAGTGGTGAAATATATATTATATATAACTTGGAAAAAAAAAAACTGTATTAATAGGTATACCTACAGTTAATTAGAAGACAGGTCTCTTACAAGCAATAAATATTTCCAAAAATAGTGTGTGGGTTTTAAAGCATAATTAAAGGCCATACCTTTTGACTTACAAAATCAAAACAGACAGAGTTAATACATAATTTGTTTCATTTTTTATACGCCTTTTCCCAACAGTATTTCAGTCATATAGGCAGGTAGTTTCCTAATCATCGTTCCTGGAGAGTTACACCAGTACTTAACTACATTCCTCCGTGCTAAACTACCAAATCATCTCCCGGGGATCAAACCCACGCCAGAGAGGTAACTGGATTAGAAGTCATCGACTCTAACCCCTCAACCACAAGCGGTAGTTAATACATAACATTTGTAAAAAGTGCCCCGCCCCCGTAAAGTTTCATTGTATTTAGTATAAACTTTATACAGACATCTGAACATTAAGACAGGAAATACTGATTATTTACTACAGCCCTCCCTTTCCTGACAGACAAAAGAAAAAAAAATGAAGCGAAATAAAAATTAAAAGTCACATCAATAACAAAATTTGTACAACAGCAATGGGTTCGAACACACTTTTTTATTAATATGTCTTTCTTCTCAGGGCCCTATGTGTAAAATAGGACACAAACATTTGACATCCTTAGTTTTAGAGATCGAGAAAAAACAGGAAATAAACAAGAACAATAAAGAAATCAAATTTTCATCAAAGAGTTTATGTCAGAAGAAAATATCTGTCATAAAAAAAAAAAGAAATTTCTGTAAAAAACCAACAAGTCTCGTTTTCAGGTACACTAGATTTCAATATCTGGTAGGAGAAAAAAAATCATAAAAATTCAGATTTCCTGTTATAAATATGTCCCCTGTACTTTACTCCATGTTCACTGCCTGCATCTAAAATGTATGTAACATGATAAGACAGAATGTGTACATATAAATACACATCTATATCCAGATATTCTTGCGTTTCCGGGGACAATACCTGAGTAACGGCACGATTTCCATTTCACATTCACCATTTCCCGTCAACTTCATTTTCACTAACGATTGTTGAGGGACAGGAACATAGGGGATTTCCTCTGTTATGGGATGAATGATACATAGGTATTAGTGACACGGCGGACAAGAAAAACACATTTCAATTCAAATAATGGTAAGGATGAATACTTTGGCCCAAGCAACAGATAAAACTGAATTCATGTGCTTTTTATTTTTACTGTCAAAAAACATGACAAACACATTTAAATAATAAATATCTCAAGATAAAACTCTGGCTTTATCTATATCTGTTAAATTGATAACATTAACAGCAAAGCTCTTTAAAATTGGTAAGTTTTGTTACGGATTTAGCTCTTCATATTTTGAGTGTTACATCTTTGCATGATTTGCAGATATTAACACACAAGATGTGTTCAACCATTACAAAATGCCCGCATCCCTGATGTGTTAATAAATATGATGAAATTTTAGCAGAATTTTGAAAATTTGATCTTAATGGTCAAAATCACATAGGAGTCAAGGTTATAAATATACAAAAAAATTCAATTTATAATTATGTGGCAGAATTTTATGGCAAAATGAAGCTGTTGTCCACATGTATGTAACTTAAAAGATGGGGATTTAAAGAAACGAACTTAACAAACAAACAGACATACAAGGAATATAAAAAAGAATTGTCTGAGTAGAGGCTGGCATTTTTCTAAGTGCTATGTAGTAAACTGCACATTTTCTTAGTGTAAAGCACATTGACCTTTCACCATTTGACCAGAAATGACTATGTTGGATTTGAGTCATCAAGTTGCATCTTCATACAAAGTTTGAGGTTCCTCTATGAATGCACTTTGGTTTTTTGGCTAGTTTTATGTTATCATATTACAAGTACCAGTGACCCTGACCTTTGACCTTATGACCTGAATATAATGTTAAACCTCCTAGATCAATGCACATGCTTTAATGGGCAATTTCATGTTTTGTTATTACAAGTCCCAGTGACCTTGACTGAAGTCCCAGTGACCTTGACCTTTGGACCAGAAAATGGATGTGGCAGATACAATTAATCAAGGTGTTTCCGCATATAAAGTTTCAATGTTATAAGTATTGAAGTTAAAGACCATAATCAAAAACCTAACCAAAAAAGTTAACCAACACCAACCCTGCAAATGCCAGTCATGAGGATAGTTCCTATTATTCTTCAAAAAGTGTAACTAAATACTTTAATCTAAGAAACAATCTAAGCACTCCTATGGTTAGGTACCTTGAAAATACTACTTCACATGTACTAGGAAAATGAATAGGCCAAACTGACAGCCTGTGAGTGATCGAAACAAATATTTTTTGAGCTCAGGACTTGGATGCAAACATTTTTTTTTTTTCCTCCTTGTTCAGTACTGGTACACAAAAATCTAATCTTTTCCAATGCAAAAATTATCTACAGAAATTTAACAACCAAACAAAATATTTTTATGAATACAAAATGAAGTAAACATGCCAAAGATGGGAGCCTGTTTATTATAGGTAAAAAAATCCCATTTTTGAAAGTGCCAAGCAATACCCACTAGTGTTGTCAATATGCCCAAAGTGAAGGATATAGTATGTGCACAACAAACTATAACATATTGCAAATATATAAATATGTCCATGATAATGTAAACATTCATTTAAATACAATTACTGTTATAATCTGTTGATAATATACACTTTAAATAACAAAAAAACCCCAGAAAACTTTTGTCTAAGATTTATTCCCTAAAATAAACAAATTAAACTTTTTTATTTCATGCTTTTCAGTGTTTTATTGTAATATATCAGATGATTATATTCTGATAAACCACTAGTGAAATTTATAAAATATAATTTTCACTGTAGCCGGACTATATCTGAATGCGGATGAATAGAAAATCATAACCAAATGGAATAACAGGCAGAAATAAATGCTGTCATGCGTAAATTTTGCTTCTTTAGGAAAAGAAAGTCGATGTCACCATACATCATGTTAAAAATGTAACAAAATTTGACAAAATTTAACAGAACTATATTTCAAAATTAATGATGTGACGTCATGATGTGATGACGTCACAAAGGAGAATGCGCGACGTAACGCGGCAAAATCAGTAAAAAATACTTAAAATCAATTGAAAAGCATGAAATAAAAAGAAAATTTATTTGTTTTACATATAAGATTAAAATATATTTCATTCGTGAACACCAGCTATTATATTTTCACTCGTGGCTACGCCACTCGTGAAAATATTGCATCTGGTGTTCACTCAGTGAAATTATATTTCGATCTTACATGCAAAACAAACAAATATCCTCTATTTAAACTCTATCCTTTTCATTAACTTAAGTATAATGCATCATTGCTCACTCCAATATGTGGTCATTCACATATGATTTTATGAAAATTTGCAATAATTACATTAAAAAGACATCATCAGAAATACACTGCTGATGAACAAACAGACACACGTACACTTGTATACAGACAGAGGATTTAGTTATCTGAAGTATTACAATTTGTAACGAGGTGAAAAAAGTAACACAATGAAAGCCAATAAAACCAAACACTTGAAACTTTAGCTTCCCATTAGCTACTGAGCTTAAAAATCTTTGAAAATACTTAATCCAGTATTTCTTTAATAAATTCAATATTGAAAGAGATTGCTTTTGAATGACAAACTCTTAACCTGAAATCTTTCACCCATGTTTACAAATTAATTTATAACTGTTCATTATTTCACTCATTCAAGATGGGGAAAATAGGTGGAAATATAGACTTTATAGACTTTTTCTTTGATCTTTATGTCCCATTTTTCTACATAAACCAGTAAAAATCTACACTAAATCTGATCGTCTATATGGTCTCCTTTTTTAAACTAAGGTCAATGACAGAGTAAAGCTCATTCATTACCTATTTGATACTGGTCCAGACTGACCAACTTGACAAAGTAATACCAGTTTAACCCCCGCCACACTATGTAGCAGGTATATAATTCCAGTTCAACCCCAGACACATTATGAAGTGGGTGTATGAAAAAAATAGTCACTTTCTTATTGGCTGTGTTAAGCCTAATATAGTATTATGGTAAAAGGTGATAAAACTATACATGTAGTATTACCTGAGGATTTGTCCTGGAAGTAGGCCAGCAGACATCGGGCCACAGCCTGGTGACAGACAACCATTACATTCTCCTGTCTCTCCAACTCCTATACAAATATTTATATTATTAGTTATAATGATTTTTGACCGATTATATGACCCTATATAAACGGTTTTATTAGAAATTAATGCAAACAAACATTTATATAGGGCCTTATAACCAGTCAAAAATGTTTATAACAAATTCATAATACAGCAAGCATCTTTTTTTTAGAGAAAAAAAAGTGAGATTTTTTATAAAATGACAGCAGTTGTGTATATAAAAATATATAAAGGTCACAATTATCCAGTGATAAGTGGCATTACAAACATTCAGTATTATAAGAAAAATTATCAATGCCTATTTGCAATATTTTTTATTTTTAGATTTCATTTAAAATGCAAATTTATGACGACAAATTGAAAATATCATTGTCTCTTCCGAGTTTACCGGAAATCAATGCTAAATTCAAGTCACTTGTATTTTTCATCTTCTATGTTGTAACAATATAAACCTTAAATTCGTTGATCTTGTATATTAGAATATAGACTTACCATAATAACAGGCTCCAATCTAGCAACCAAATCTTGATATGACTGAAAGAAAGGTTATGAAAAAAATTATGATTATAAATTTTTATTTTTAAACAAGGAAGGTCTCCTAAACCACACAGTATCTTTATTCTTTATTTTGTTTTTTTAGTTCATTGATATAATTTCAGATTCACCTTCAAAACAACAAATTTGTAAAAAAGAGTCAAAACAAACTTTATGATCATTTTACAAATAACAAATAAAATGACCTAATAGTCCTGTAGTGTAAAAGCTCTCTTTATCAAAACATATGCACTTGTTTTTAAAAAATTTGATTTTCGGACAATTTTAAATTTTCTTCCCTTTTTGTCACAAAGATTGCTACAAACATTCAATATTCTTCCGATTTTAATAAAGATTGCTACAAAAACTTTATAAACCTGATTTACCCACCTCTCCAGTTGGATATCTATAGTGGTATTTATCTTGGTCCCTCTTGGCAAACTCTTCTGGATATTTCTCGGCAATTTCTTCATACGTAAACCCTTCACATATACCCTTAAAAGTAAAATATCAAGTCTTCACAAATACTATACTCTTAAATAAAATATCAACCCTGAACAATCACCTTTAAAGTAAAACATACCCTATAAAAAATAATACTTACCCTTCACATATACTATTAAGTTTAAAGAGCACTACATGCGATATTAACATGGTTCTTTGAAGGCAATGACCAATTTTTATAAATAGACTGTTAAACAGGGGCATTATTACCAAAAAATATTATTTTTTAGATAATGTCCCTCATCTCAAAACTGCCCATTGTCACAAGCAATTGTTCAGCAAGTGTTCCAAGTTTCATTTTGATACCTTTCCTAGTTTTGAAATTATTCTACTTAACATGTAACTTTTACAAAAATTCTAAGTTAAAAGGGGCATAACTCTAAAAAATGAGCTTTTAAAATAATGGCCCTTGTCTTACACCAGTATCTTGTCATGATAAGCAAGTACTTCAAGTTTCATTCTATTAATACCCAACATCTTTACAAACATTATCGATACATGTACTTCTTTATCACATCTTCCAACCTTTGAAATTTAAAAGCTTTCACAGCTCATTTAGTTACATTACAACTGTTATGACATAACAAAACTTACAGCATCTATCTCATTTAGAGCTTTCCAGTGAGCTTTTGGGCCGTCTATAAACTGAGCTGTTTGTATTGTTCTCGTAAGCTCACTGGTCCACACCTTCAGATTGGGTATCTTCTCACTCTTCACGAACCTAGAAAGCTCTTTGGCATACTGAAAAACAAAATTAACACTAAGCCTACTGGTGACAACAATTTATACCCATGCTATCTAAGCCAACTTTCCTGCAGTGTTTGCAATTCAGCTTTTACCAAGTTATAACACATTTGTGTCAGATATTACAAAATCATAAAATAAAAAGTAAAATGGTACTTAACATAAAAGCATAAACATATATAAATAAGTAGAAACACTGTCAGTCAGTAAGATAGCTGGAAGAATTCAAAGTTTCTGAAAGGACTCAAACTTACTCTGATGACAATACCAAAACAGATTTTTTTTTAAATATTTTTTTATTGGGTTTAACGTCACACCAACACAGTATAGGTCATGTAGATGACTTTCAGTGTCACTGTTTGAGGAAGACAGACCTCGGTTGCCCCTTCTTGCATTATTTCAGACACAAGTGGTCACCTGAGTTATAGGAGTGACATTCTGCAAGCTAGCTGGATAGCTGCCTCAAATGAAAGATTTCAAAGTCCCTAGCAGGATTCGAACCTACAGTGGTGAGAATACTAAAACAGATGTACATACCTCCATACCCCTGGGGGAGAGTTCACTATCTCCCCCTATTCTACCCTGAAGATTCATCATACTTTCACCATGCTGAAATATTTACAAAACTAGAAATGTGTCCATAGGACACGGGTGCCCCCACCGCAACACTGTTCTGTCAATCTTTTTACTAAGTCAAGGGAAATAACTCTACAAATACTGGATAAATCCAAAAGCGAAACCCCAGGTGCAAATCTAAAATATGCTGAGCAACCTGCCCATAAGGTTTATTGACTATGTCAAATCCTTTTTGAGAAACTTGCGACACAAGTTGAAAATTGCAAAATTTTCTAAGTGAAGGGCAATAACTCTAAAAATACTAAATAAATCCAGACGAAAATACCTGGTGCACAACTGCACATGCTAATCAATATTCCTGTAAAGTTACATGACTCTAGGTCAAATACTTTTTGAGTTATGTGCGACACATGTTGAAAATTGCCAAATTTTACTAAGTCAAGGGCAATAACTCTGAAAATATTAATAATATCCAGACGAAAATACCCAGGTGCACAACTACACATGCTGATCAACATTCCTGTAAAGTTTCATGACTCTAGGTCAAATACTTTTTGAGTTATGAGCGACACAAGTTGAAAATTGCAAAATTTTACTAAGTCAAGGGCAATTACTCTAAAAATACTAAAAATATGCACACGAAAATACCCAGGTGCACAACTACACATTCTGATCAACATTCCTGTAAAGTTTCATGACTCTAGGTCAAATACTTTTTGAGTTACGTGCGACACAAGTTGAAAATTGCAAAATTTTACTAAGTCAAGGGCAATAACTCTGAAAATACTAAAAATATCCAGACGAAAATACCCAGGTGCACAACTACACATGCTGATCAACATTCCTGTAAAGTTTCATGACTCTAGGTCAAATACTTTTTGAGTTACGTGCGACACAAAAGTGAACGGACGGACGGACGGAAGGAAGGACGGACAGACAAGGGTAAATCTAAATGCCCGCCACTATTGTGGGGGCACAAAAATAATCTGCATACAGTATAAGAAAATCTACTACAGACATAACAAGAGCTGTCCGTAAGACAGCGCGCTCGACTTTTTTATTGCTTGCCAATAAAAAAAGTTTTTGCAGTAAAAGGCAATACAAGAATCTCTGTATTTTTAAAGTGAACAATGGCCATGAGCATTAAGACATTTAGTGAAGAATTATTTTACTGAATTGTGTGATACCCTTGAACACTGCAGCAAAGTTTGAAATGTTTAAGTCAAAACATTGACAGTTAAGGGCCATAATTCAAATAAAATCTTTGACAGAATTACCTTCTCCTGGACATGTTTGGGAATCATGATTGTAAACAAGTATTCCAACTTTCAAATTAATATCTCAAACAGTTCAGTCAAAAAGTGGACTGGTACTAAAAACTTAACCAAGATTCTAAGTCGATAAAAGGCCTTAATTTTTAAAACAAATCCTTGACAGAGTTACCTTCTCTTGCGTACAGATGGGGGTAATGATGTGAAATAGCATTAAAAGTTTCAAAGCAATATCTCAAAGGGTTAAGGCAATAAGTGGATTTTACCCATATTCAATGTATTTTCTAAGTCAAAAGGGGGCATAATTCTGTCAAAAACCTTGACAGAGTTATGTCCTCTTGTCTGTTGATGAAGGTCGTGATGGTAAACAAGTATGGTCAGTTTCAAAGCAATACCTCCAATGGTTTTGAAATAAAGTGAGGTGGTACAAAAAACTTAACCAAGCTCAATACACTTTCTAAGTCAAAAAAGGGCCATAATTCTGTCAAAAACCTTGACAGAGTTATGTACTCTTGTCTGTAGATGGAGGTTATGATGGTGAACAAGTATGGTAAGTTTCAAAGCCATACTTGTAATACTTCTGAAATAAAGTGGGGTGGTACGAAAAACTTAACCAAGGTGTGACGCCGACGCCGACGCCGGGGCGAGTAGGATAGCTCCCCTTTTCATAGAAAAGTCGAGCTAAAAATTAAGTTAAAGCTGCACGCCTCCAGATGAGCCAAAATATCTCAAGAAAATCAATTTTGAGAAAAATGTACTTAAATTTTAAGAAAGGTAAAGATATTCAAGATCCAAGTTATATTTTGCATGTTATGTGCAGTTAAAGACTGATTTTGCATTATTTTATCACCATATTTCTACTGTGTTACTAAGGCAGTAAGGGCTGTTTTTGCACATGTTGACCACTTTTTGTTAATTTTCGTGGATTGTTAAGTGCCGAGTGCAATATGTAAATTGCTTTATTTGTTCACCTTACAATATTTTACTTTTAAATAAATTTTAAAATTTTCATGAGAATTAACATGAATCTGGAGGCGTGCTCAAGGAAACAATGGCTTGCCCCTGACTGGGTTTGAACACATGCTGCCAGCAATCCTTAGATTATAAGTCAACCACTCGGCCGCGGCACCACAAGAACCGTCTTGAAACGGAGTATCATACATCTACTGCCATATTCCTCCATAATTTTATTGCTTTATGATATTTGATAATAAAAACTTTGTTATTTCCTTGTAATTTGTTACATAATTAACTGTCCAAGAACTTTAATACATGCTTTTTAACCTGTTACTGGAAAGGCTTAGGAAAGAACATAATTATGTACTACACATTAAATTATTCTTACCTATTATATAGGCTATATAACTATTACCTTTTCAAAGCATCTTTCAAAATGATCATATTGTTCGTTACCTTAGTGCAGTAACAGGTTAACTCCTATTAAATTATATTAGGAGTTTATTTGCTACTTAACTAAGATGATGATATCAAACATTTTAATAACTAAAATCTTATATTTATAAAAACAAAAAATATTCGAAAAATGAAACATGTTCAAGTCATAAAGGCGTCTAAGCACATCTTCTTATCACATTTCAGTATAAATTTCAACAATGCTGATGTATTTAAGTAAATTTCACTCACATTTATATCTCATATTCATTAAACATACCAAAAGTTACTTACCCGTGTCAGGTAAATGGTCCGCGGTAACACGTGAATGTTCATAAGATAATACACAACTCTACTTTGTAAATGGCCTGCAAATAAAACATACAGTAAAATTTTACAAAAACTTTAAAGACTTGTATGACATCTATGTATGACCTTGACCTTTGACCTAGACCTGATTGTTAAATATCTTTAATTTTGAAAATTTCCAGCAAGTCGTATTTAAATCTCTCCATGCATGTAGGAGATGCTGCAAACAAAATCTGGACAATCATCATGTCATCACCTCAAATGACCTTGACCTTGCACATTTGCACCAGGATTGTGTGTGTAATGTTCAGTCTCATGATATAAAACAATTGTTTTAAAATCCATCAATTCATATTCATCAAATGGTCTTTTCGCGCATTCTTATACTTATATCTGACCTTTGACCTCTATAATTATGTGACCTTGGTCACAGGAAATTGGAACCTGAATTTTGTGTTTGACACACTGTGACCTTTTCAAATGGCATATAACTAGAAATGTGTCCATAGGACACGGATGCCCCCACACGCCACTGTTCTGTCAATCTCATGACTCTAGGTCAAATATTTTTTGGACTACATGTGCCACAAGTTGAAAACTAAAAATCAACAAAGGGCCATAATTCTGTAAAATTTGGTCGCAGCGAAAATTCCTTCCTTTACTACCATCTACACATTAAGGTTGTTAATCCCTGGAAGTTTAAGCAAAATCTGCCATCCAGTTTAAGAGGAGTTGCGTTCACAAAATTTCTACATAGTATATAATGAAAAAATCAACAAAGGGCCATAATTCTGTTAAATTTGGTTGCAGCAAAAATTCCTTCCTTTACTGCCATCTACACATTAAGGTTGTTCATCCCTGGAAGTTTAAGCAAAATCTGCCATCCGGTTTAAGAGGAGTTGCATTCACAAAATTTCTACATAGTATAAAGTGAAAAAATCAACAAAGGGCCATAATTCTGTAAAATTTGGTCGCAGCGAAAATTCCTTCCTTTACTACCATCTACACCTTAACGTTGTTCATCCCTGTAAGTTTAAGCAAAATCTGCCATCCGGTTTAAGAGGAGTTGTGTCCACAAAATTTCTACATAGTATATAGTGAAAAAATCAACAAAGGGCCATAATTCTGTTAAATTTGGTCACAGCAAAAATTCCTTCCTTTACTGCCATATACACATTAAGGTTGTTCATCCCTGTAAGTTTAAGCAAAATCTGCCATCCGGTTTAAGAGGAGTTGCGTTCACAAAATTTCTACATAGTATATAGTGAAAAAATCAACAAAGGGCCATAATTCTGTAAAATTTGGTCGCAGCGAAAATTCCTTCCTTTACTACCATCTACACATTAAGGTTGTTCATCCCTGTAAGTTTAAGCAAAATCTGCCATCCGGTTTAAGAGGAGTTGCGTTCACAAGATTTCGGGACTGACGGATTGACGGACGGACGGACGGAGAAGTGCAACGCTATATGCTCCCACATTGTGGGGGCATAAAAATGAAAGAGAACAGTTTGATGGTCTTACCCTTTTGTGATATTAGTTTCATCCTGTTTGATTTTATTAACAGTTTTGTCAAACACCAAAAAAGCCTATATTTGGCTTTAACTTTATGCAAAATAAGTAGTATCAGTAGGAGAATATAAAATTTGGAGAGGGGTATGAAATTTATGTTTCTATGAAGACCAACACAAGTCATGTGAAACATTAACACACATGTTGATATAAGCAAAGTATCAAATTTTGAAGGTTTTATTGTGGCAACATATGATAACAAAGCATGAAATTCTCTCCCTGTACAATAACATATACATAAAATACGCACACTTGTAGCAATTAAATATGCATAACAGTTAAAAAAAGATAGCTCTATTATTACATGGGTACCTGATTTTTATACTTCGGTGTCTTTTTAAATACAGTTATTCACCTATCTTTACTAAATGTTCTTTGAAGTTTATGTTCAAGGTTTACTAACAGGTGAATAAGAAACATTAATTCATGCTGTCTAAATAACCAAAATACCTTTACATGTATTCATTGTTAAATCTTAAATAATATTTTCCATAAAATGCCAATGGTTGAAAAATATTAAACAAGAGGGCCATGATGGCCCTAGATCGCTCACCTGACCCATCAAACTCATCCAAACAATTACCTAGACAAGCATTCTGACCAAGTTTCATGACAGGTGAGTCAAAAATGTGACCACTACAGTGTTAACAAGGATTATCCATATTTGAGCAGTGTGACCTAGTTTTTTACCCAGGTGACCCATATTCAAACTTGACCTAGAAATCATCAAAACAAACTTTCAGACCAATTTCCAAGATACTTTGATCAAAACAGTAGCAACTAGAGTGTTAACAAGATTTTTCTATTTTTAGCTCCGGTGACCTAGTTTTTCATGCGATTCGAACTCATCCGAGCAATTACCTAGACAAGCATCCTGACCAAGTTTGATGATAATTGAGTCAAAAATGTGACCACTAGAGTGTTAACAAGGTTTTTCCATATTTGGGCGGTGTGACCTAGTTTTTCATCCGAGATGACCCATGTTCGAACTTGACTTAGAAATCATCAAAACAAACTTTCAGACCAATTTACAGGATATTTGGATCAAAACAGTAGCCACTAGAGTGTTAACAAGATTTTTCTATTTTTAGCTCCTGTGACCTAGTTTTTCATCCGAGATGACCCATGTTCGAACTAATCCGAGCAATTACCTAGACAAGTTTCCTGACCAAGTTTGATGACAATTGAGTCAAAATTGTGACCACTAGAGTGTTAACAAGATTTTTCTATTTTTAGCTCCTGTGACCTAGTTTTTCATCCGAGATGACCCATGTTCGAACTCATCCGAGCAAGTACCTAGACAAGCATCCTGATCAAGTTTGATGACACTTGTGTCAAAAATGTGACCGCTAGAGTGTTAACAAGATTTTTCTATTTTTAGCTCCTGTGACCTAGTTTTTCATCCAGGATGACCCATGTTCGAACTCATCCAAGCTATCACCTAGACAAGCATCCTGACGACAATTCATAAGTATTTTTGGGTGAAAAATTTCAAAATCTGTACTAACTGCTATCAAACAGTGCAGACCATGAACACACTCTTAACCGACATGCTGGCAGAGTCTGTCTGGTTAGCTCAATAGGTAGAGCGTTGGACTGTGAATCAGGCAACTCAGGTTCGATTCCTGGACGGCACAGGTCAATTTCGTTGTGATTTATCATGAAATCTTTTCTACAGTCATTCGCACTGTACCTCTGCTCTGGTATGTACAAAAGTTTCAGTTCCTTGCGGAAGTGAAGGCAACTAGTACAGGTAAATTGCTTGACAGTCTACCCAGTAACGATGCAGTGGCTGAACTGTGCTCTGGTAAATTCAATGTGGCTTAATGCTGTGATCTAAGTGAAATCTACAAACACCACCACCACATGCAGGCAGATTTTGGTCTGTACTGGTTAATCACAGGTAAATTCAGTTGCTATCAGCAGGCTAAAGAATCATTTACTTACCAGCTAATTTATTGACGAGGAATCTTTCGCCCTGGTTGAAGATTTGTATAAAGGATAGATCTTTATCGTGGGTATAGTCCATGGACTGGTAGTTCTGTCTATAATGTTCTATACGCTGCATAAAGTCTTCCACAGCCTCATTCTTATCCATACCTAGATAATCTGGACTGCAAACTTTCACTTCCTGTAAGATAATCAAATTATCATATTGATGGTTTAAGCAAAAGACTGTAGTAACTGTGTGTAAGTTAAATTTACAGAAAAGGCAAAAAATATTTATTTTTAAATGTTACTCTTATTATTTCTTAAAGATCCTGTATGTTGTAATTAAAGATGAAACAGCACTTAAGCGAAATATGTATATAATTATTCTTCTAAAACAATTTCCACAACATCCAAGAATATGTTAAATATGTACTGCAAATGGTTATGTGCATTATAGTAATGCATTTAAATAAATGCATTCATTTCTTATTGAAAAATTTGGCTTAGACATTATAGAAAATAAAGTTCTAATTATCTCCCTTTATTTACATGAAATGTAAATTCAGTAATATCTTTACAAATAATGCTTTTTGGAACTTACAATATTGATGAACCTTCATTTGAGCATCATATTTATGATATGAAACCATAAAAAATTTGAGTTACAGGACCTTTGAGTTCTTAGAATATCAATAGAAATTGTAGAAGAAAGCAAACTAGCAAACAAAAAAATGTTAATCTTTTTTTTCTTTTGTGATATTTGGACTGCATTGAGTTACTACACTCTTATTCACTTAGTAGTTAGTACTGTTTCAAAATGCTTTAGTTTGTATAAAATGTATTTGAAAGTTAGACATGATGTAAATCTGTTGGGAAATCCAACTTTAAATTTATGATATTAGGTCAACCACACCTTGACTAAGATCTGATATTTTATCCAAGACACCTGGTACATGTGTGCCTCACTTCATCTCATAGTGGTTAATACTTGTTTCAACCAGGTTACCAGGTATGACTCAGTCTTATGATTATGAATGAACATGTTTGATTATAATCCCTAAATTCTAGACATCTGTTAATACATTTTTATCTGCCCTTTGACCTCTATGTTTTTGACCTTCTACACAGGGACCAGAATTTTGCTTGCTACACTTTGCCTTACAATGGTGAACTTAACATTTGTACTGAGTTATAATTATGTTGTGAACATTTGTATATCAGGTATTACTATAATCCAATGCATGAAAGAAGCATTATAGCTGTGGACAAAACTGGACCCCAAAACCAGGAGTGATCCAGCAATACAACCTGTCTTTCAAACAGATGTATAACATATAAATTTAACACATGTCATTTCTATGGATATACAAAAGTAGTAAAGTATAAATTTTATGCCGAAGCATTCATAGTATTTTAACAATATAAATGCAGTTAGGCTTGCAAGAATGTGATGAAATGACAGCCTTAATTTTCATTGTTATTCATTTTGTACATAAAGAAGTTATGCTTTGTGAATTCCTCATGTACACTTTTTTATGAAAAACTGTTAGACAGGAACTTTTGCCTTAGTGAAAAGAAATCACAGAAAAAACAATCCACAGAAAAAATAAGTCCCATACAAAATGTGATTATATTTTTTTCTATAACTATCAAAATTAATATAAAATCTTACGAGTATATTAGCCTCTATAATATTGATATCGTCACATATCGACTCGACAAAGAATAGACGGAAGCCATTTTTATCACAGATAATTTCAGATAACAACTTCCTTCGCTCTCTCGTAGTGTTTGTGGCATCTATAACCTGAAATATTTTAAAATAAAAAGTCTTTATTCATTCATATTATCAAAGTTTGCAGTCTGGTTCTCCAGAACCCAGCAAAGCAGATTTTTTTCTGATGTACAAACAATCTTAAGTTGACCATTCCAATGTAATCAGTCGTGCACCAGGAAGCTATAAAAATTTATTTGTACCCCATGATTATACCGGAAATCATGTTTACTGGTAGGTCTGTTTTGTGAACAGAAACAGTCATATTAAATAAATTAACTAGAACCCAGCAAAGGTAATTTCCCATATAATCATGGGGTTCAAACAAATTTTCATAGCTTCAATGACCTTTTATCAAACTTCTTTGAAATACGAATCAGAAAAGTACTTTTAAGTTAATCTAACACTAATATGATACCTCTACAGTAGAAACAATTCTTCTCATCTTAAACAATTTAAGCAAGGCCTTTTAAACACATATATAGCATTTTAAAAAATAGTGGGTAATGTTTTTATTTTGAATAGATACATGTATATTTAACACTTTTTTATGAAAAATTTTTCTCATATTTATGACAACACATGTTTTAGAAAACCAAACTCTATATTCACCTACAATAAAACATAATCAAATAAATGAGCTACAAAGTACATTTACACAGTTATTGCTTAACACTTGGTTAGCCAGAAGTAATGATGTCTCATGCATTATACTCCATACTCCATCATTATGCTTTTTGAATATATATATGTAATAAAAAATTGCTTGTTAAAACCAAATAATATTTTATTTATTTTTTTTAAAGGAGGGGGGGGGGGGGGCAGGGCAGGGCATTATGCCCAAGAAATGTTTTTACTGTTGATTCTTGGTGTCAGGTAATAGTTTCCAAAAAGATACTCATTGGCCAGTTGCCTAAGCAGTTTATTCCTTCTGTTTCTTTTTTTGCAATTAGTACAGTTAGTGATTTAGTATGGAAGTCAAAATACTACTTTGTTTACATTTTGCCAATTTTTTTACAAATACTTTCAGATTTGATGCCATTTTCTTTTGTTTGCACTTTGTAAAGAAGGAAAAATTTATCATAATTTGCCTTTAATATTTTGACCAAGACATTTCAGAGCTAGTCATATCAACTCTACTCAAACCCGACTTTGGTTATAAACATTACTCTAAAAATGAATAATTTGAAAATTGTAACCTTCTCCTTTTAAGGTCATTTGCATGTATGCCAGTTTTGACAGACATAAAATAAAATTTAACTGATTATCAGATAAAAGCAAGATCTTCACATGAAAGTTTTACTGTATCTTCGAAACAGATCAGTTGTAATATAATTTTCACATGCACGTATTGAGGTAATTTTAATGATTCAAATATGATAAACTTTTTTTATTTTTCAATTACAGCAACTGTTTTCTAGCTTCAACAGGTTTTGTCATACAGGGTACCAAACAAAAATGTCACACAAACATTATATTCAACTATTTTTCAGTGCTTGTTCACAAAGAGGGACAACAAATTATCAAGGGCATTGAACTTTTCTCAGCGCCTGATTACAAAACAAAGGCTTAAATAGTGCAGTTCACAAAAAGGGGAATAATTCTGTAAATATCCATTTTTTGTTTGTTTGTTTGGGTTTTTATGTCACACCAACACTGTATAGGTCATTTGGCACATTCCAGCTTTACTGGTGGAGGAAGACCTCAGGTGCCCTTCTGTGCATTATTTCAGGCACGATCGGGCACCTGAGTAGAACCACCGACGTTCCGTAAGCTAGCTGGATAGCTTCCTCACATGAAAGAATCAAAAGTCCCTGTTGGGATTCAAACCCACAGTGGTGAGGGGAAAGTGGTTTGAAGTCAATGACCTTAACCACTCAGCCACGGGCACCACTGTAAATATCCATGCTAGAGTTAAGGGTATAAAGCTATGGTCTAGAATTTTAATCCTGAATAACATGTGCAATACAAAGTTGATATTCAGTGGTTATAGTGACAGAGCATTAACCCATAACTTTCTAAGTCAGAAAGGGGAATGATTTTGCAAAAATCTATGCTATTTAATCAAATCTGCATTCTTATCAATTTATTTCAGTTTTTATTGATCTATTATATGGGTACCTCCCTTTTCCATTGAGCTATCACTGGAATCTCCCTCTTCCATTGAACTAACATGGGATCCTTCCCTTTTTCATTGAACTAACATGGGAAACTCCCTTTTTCATTGATTTATCATTGGAAATTCCCTTTTCCATTTACCTAACACGGGAACCTCCTTTTCTCATTGAACTATCATGGGAACGTCCCTTTTTCAATGAACTAACATGGGAACGTCCCTTTTTCAATGAACTAATATGGGAACCTCCCTTTTTAATTTATCTATCATTGGAACCTCTCTATTCCATTGAACTATCATGAGAACCTCTCTTGCCATTGATCTATCATCAGAACCTCTCTTTTCATGCTATTTTGCAGAGATTTTCTATCATGACCTAGTGAAAATCTAACCCCTTCTTCCATTGAACAACCCATTTAAGTGTTAAAACTAAAATCATTAAACTGACATTTTAATCAAATTTCTATTTTGGTTTTTGCTACTAAAGTTGATTATTTTTTCATCCGTCATTTATGAAAAGTTTATCATTCATCAAGATGAAAATATTTTTTAAAACAAATCCCCCCTTGGGTATCTTACAAATGTGACAATAATGTATTCAACAAATTTACTTTTATTAGGACAAGAGTTGATATATTTTTGGCAAACTGAGAATGGTGAGAGAAAGATAAAAGATACTGTCAAATTCAAATTTGTTTGAGGAGACCAATATAAAATTTTAATAGGGGAAGATGCCAATTCAACAAGCAAATTCGTTGAATTTATATCCCCCGCCGAGTACTGGTTATTATTTACACAACAACTGAAGACATAAGGCTTTATTTCTATATTAATCATGGCATAAACAGTAATATTCTTGAACTTGATAAATATTCCAGGGCAATAACAGAGCCATAACTTTGTGTTAAATAGTAATATCTGGAAATGCCAATGAGATGTATGCATACTAACATAACTAATAAAGGGCCATAAATCTGAGTTATAAGTATCTGACCGGAAACAAGGCGACTATATGCACATCTCCTTTTAGTATCCCATAAAGTTTCATTGAATTCCAGCCAGTAACGTTAGCTCTGGTTGTATACTGCCTAAGTTATCAAGGGTTATAACTCTAAGTTATAATGTCTGACCCAAACAAGGCCACAATATGCGCATCTCCTCCTTGGTATTGAAGGTTCCAATAAAGTTTCATTGAATCAGCCAGTAGTTGCAGAGAAAAAAAGGGTTAAGCGGGGGCCAAAACCACCCGTTAACGATATTTGCTCTATATGCATACTGCATAAGTAAATCAAGGGGCCATAAAACTCTGAGTTTAAGGGTTCTGACCGAATCAAGGCGACGATATTGCCCATCTCCATCGTTGATATTGAACGTTCCTATAAAGTTTCGTTGAATTCCAGCCATGAGTTGCAGAGAAGTAGCGCAGAAAGAAACAATTTTTTCTCTATATGCATACTTGCATAACTAATCAAGGGCCAATAACTCTGAAGTTACAGTGTCTGACCGGAACAAGGCGACGAATATGCGGCATCTCCTCTTGGTATTGAATTATTTCCCATAAAGTTTCGTTGAATTCCAGCCAGTAGTTGCATGAGAAGTAGCGCGGAAACGATTTTTACTCTATATGCATACTGCATAACTAATCAAGGGCCATAACTCTGAGTTTAAGTGTCTGACCGGAAACAAGCCGACGATATGCGGATCTCCCTCTTGGTACTTGAAGGTTCCCATAAAAGTTTCATTGAATTCCAGCCAGTAGTTGCAAAGAAGTAGCGCAGAGAAAACGATTTTTACTCCATATGCATACTGCAATAACTAAATCAAGGGCCATAACTCTGAGTTTAAGTGTCTGACCGGAACAAGGCGACGAAATGCCCATCTCCTCTTGATATTGAAGGTTCCCATAAAGGTTTCGTTGAATTCTAGGCAGTAGTTGCAGAGAAGTAGTGCGGAAACGATTTTTACTCTATATGCATACTACATAACTAATCAAGGGCCATAACTCTGAGTTAAAGGGTCTAGACCGGAAAGCAAGAGCTGACGATATGTGCATCTCCTCTTGATATTGATGATTCCCATAAAGTTTCGTTGAATTCCAGCCAGTAGTTGCAGATAGTGATGTTCCGATTGTCGCAAGTAGCCGATCATCACTTACTGTTATGTAAAACGACAATAATCGATTCACAAAAGTTTGTTCCGCGACGTCGTCAAAAATGTTTAAATTATCAAAGGGAATTAATTCTGACGGTAATTTTCCTTAAGGAACACCTCGCCGATCGCAAAAAAATCACTCAGAGACAATTTGGAGTTGAACATGATCAATAGGTGATGTTAACAATAGATATATAATGTGATGTGAATGGTATTATTTGACATCCGTTGAAAAATAAAATCTATGTCATAAAATTATGACTATATAAGGTTAACACTGTGTTGAAAAGTGCTAAATGAAGTTCATGTTACTAAATATAATCAAGTGCCTTGGTAAGAAATGTTACTTCCCTATTTCCTTTTAACGCGACTTTATTCGAAAGTTATCGATTATGTCCCATCAGACTGAACCGATGATCGATTGGGACAAATTTCATCCGATTTCCATCACTAGTTGCAGAGAACTACTCTGGAAACAAAATTCGGACGGACGGATGGACGGACAACGCCAAAACTATATCCCCCTCCCGATTCCATCGGCGGGGGATAATAAATTTGTTGGAAAAATGCAATATCCAAATTTGTGCAACATCACTGTGCCTGAAATGCTAGTTGAACTGTCTGAATACCTCCATGAGATAAACATTGCATCAAAATATCATAAGCAGTGTTTTTTGGGGTTTTTTTTATTTGATGGGAATTTACATTGTACCAACACAGTATAAGATTTTGTGTTGGTGCGACATAAAATCCAACCAAAA